CTCCTGCCAGAGCCCTGTATCCTGTGGCAATGACTGTGCAGTAGTTGGCCTTTAAAACACGCTCTTATCTCTTTCATATCCAAGATAGACATATGCACAAACTTATCCCCTTACCATTACATTTCCATGTCTGAGAAAGAATGTTAATTTCTCACTTTTAGCTTATAACAGAAATGTTATTTTTTGGTCTCCTCTGATCATTACTCTTTCTCCCCTAGGACAGAAACCTATGAAGCTTTCTTGCACACTCTGTTTTCCTTGGTCCCACCACAGCCAGGCTTCCTACCACATATATGAGGATGCTGCACGACCCCAGGGATCTAGGGGAGCTCCAAAGCCCTCTCTTAAAATTTCAAATACAAATTTAGGCTCAGGTACACTTTTATGGATACAGGAGCTAGAACTCTCAGGGTATTCAGGGCATCCACAGGCCTGACCTTCTGAAAAGCCAGCAATGTAAGGGCCACAAGGACCATCTGGCCTAGCCAGGTCCTGGCCAGCACTGCACAGCCAAGCCTCCCAGGCCCCACTATGGGCCCTGTTAACAGACATACCCCACAAATCTACACTGCTATTACTCCTGTCTACAATTCCTACCACCACCAGCAGACAAGCAGTGCTTCCACATGCTGAGGGTAAGGATCATGTTACAGAAAGTGAAGGGACAGCCCTGCCCTCCTAGGGGATAAAACCCAACAGTTTCAGGAATGAGAGGCTATCACTGAGGTCCCTGAGCTCCAGAGGGAGACACAGGTGCTGGGGCAGGTGGGGTGGCTTCTTAAGGAATTCACACTCTCAGCCTATGTTGACAGAGACGCAGGTCCCAGGGGACAGGGACACCAGGCTACTCTGGCTTTTAATTAAAATAGCAAATCCAAGACCAGGCACAGTGGCTCACACCTATAATCCTAGCACTTTGGGAGGCCAAAGCAGGAGGATCTCTTGAGCTCAGGGGATTGAGAACAACCCTACCAAAAATAGAAAAACTAGCCGGACATTGTGGCTAACACCTATAGTCCCAGCTACTCAAGAGACTGTGGCAAGAGGATCACTTGAGCCCACTAGCTTGACGTTGCTGTGAGCTAGGCTGACACCACAACACTTTAGCCTGGGCACATAGACTAAGACTATCTCAAAAAAAAAAAAAAAATCCAGAACAATTCCTTTGAAAAAATCCCACTCTAATCTCAAACCTCATTAAGTCTTACAGCTTCTAGCCTTTCAGTTCTGCTCCAAGAAAACTTCCTCAGGAATCTGGCAGAAGGTCACTGTCAGGTCTATGGCCAGACCACTCTGAACACACCTGATCTCATCAGAACTCAGAAACGAAGCAAGTTGGGCCTGGTTAGTACTTACTAAGAAAGTCTCTGTCAGGAAAGAGGGGCCCTGATTGATAAGGTCAACTTAGTCCCCTTCCTAGCACAAAAGTACAGTCCGTCCTGCAGAAGCAATGGCAGACCAGGTTCTCAAAGCCAACCACAGATCTGACAGGACGAGAAGAGTAGGGAGGCCACAGACCAGAGGGGCTCCTAGATGGATGCAACACTGTGCTAGAGCCAGGCAGGAGCGGAGTATAGGAGAACACACTGCTGCCAGGACCCTGACAGAGGGGCACAGCTCCCAGCATCACTGGGGAATCCCCAGACGCAGGATGGGTGGGGGTGGGAGTTCCCCTAGAGGAAATGGGCTCCTGGGAACTAACAAACAGAATGCCTGGCTTAAGGGAAGAATGCTAAGAGACAATCACCAGGAACTCCAATTCCTGCCCTTTAAAAATAGCCACTATGTGGCGCTGGGTAGCCTCAGGCTCCGAGCTGCTCTGCACCCCTGCAGACCATCCAACATGCAGTCCAAAGTCTTATTTCCTTCTAACTTTACAACATAATTCAAATCCAAGAAATATAGCCCATTATTTCTTTAGAAATATAAAGAATGGTATGCTTTTTATTTTTTCTATTTTGTTAAGAAACAAAGTCTTTAGCCGGGCGATGTGGCAGTCGCCTGTAGTCCCAGCAACTTGGGAGAGCTGAGGCAAGAGACTCACTTAAGCCCAAGAGTTTGAGGTTGCTGTAAGCTGTGATGCCACAGCACTCTACTGAGGGCAACATAGTGAGACTCTGTCTCAAAAGAAAAAAAAAAGAAAGAAAGAAAGTCTTGTTATATTGCCCAGACTGGACTCAAACTCCTAGCCTCAAGCTATTCTCCTGCCTCAGCCTCTGCTATGAGGGTACTATGCAGCTGAAAACAGAATGAAAAAGTCCTTACATTACAGCACAGACAGGCATCTATGATGTACTATTAAATTGCAAAAGCAAAGGGCAAAATTGCATGCACAGTATGCCAATGCTGTGTAAAAAGAAACAAAGATCTGGCTCTGCGCCTGTGGCTCAGGTGGCTAAGGCGCCAGCCACATACACCTAAGGTGGAGGGTTCCAATCCAGCCCGGGCCCGCCAAACAACAATGACGGCTGCAACCAAAAAAAAAAATAGCCGGGCGTTGTAGTGGGTGCCTGTGGTCCCAGCTACTTGGGAGGCTGAGTCGGAGACTCGCTTGAGCCCAGGAGTTGGAGGTTGCTGTGAGCTGTGATGCCATGGCACCCTACCCAGGGGGACAGCTTGAGGCTCTGTCTCGGAAAAAAAAGAAAGAAAGAAACAAAGATCTATGTGTGATAGGAGACTTATGGCTTACTGCCAGACACATCCGGCCACTAAGGGTGGGGGGATCACCTAGGGGGAACAACAGGAAGGACACACAGCACTCAGACTTTCTTTTTTTTTTTTCTTTTTTTGAGACAGAGTCTCAAGCTGTCACCTGGGTAGAGTGCTGTGGCATCATAGCTCACAGCAACCTCAAATTCTTGGGCTTAAGTGATTCTCTCACCTCAGCTCCCAAGTAGCTGGGACTACAGGAGCCCACCACAACACCCTGCTATTTTGTTGTTGTAGTTGTCATTGTTTGGCAGGCCTGGCATTCCAACCCACCAGCTCCAGTATATGTGGCTGGCGCCCTAGCCGCTGAGCTACAGGGGCTGAGCCACTCAGACTTTCAAAGTTAACAAATATGTGGCCTTTCAAAAGCTGAAGTTAAAGCTTGGAGCCCGTAACACAATGGTTACAGCACCAGCCACATACACCAAGGATGGTGGGTTCAAACCGGGCCTGGACGAACTAAACAACTGCAACCAAAAAACAGCTGGGCGGCTTAGCGCCCACAGCCCAGTGAGAAGAGCACCAGCCACACACACCGGAGGTGGCAGGTTCAAGCCCTGCCCAGGCCTGCTAAAACAACAATGACAACTGCAACCCAAAATAGCTGGGTGTTGTGGTGGGCGCCTGTAATCCTAGCTACTTGGGAGGCTGAGGCAAGAGAATTGCCTAAGCCCAAGAGTTTGAGGTTGCTGTAAGCTGTGACACCACAGCACTCTACTGAGGGCAACATAGGGAGACTCTGTCTCAAAAAAAAAAAAAACAAAAAAACAAAAAACATTGAAGCTAAAAAAAAGAAATTGAAAATTAGAAAAATTTTAATATGATTATCACTGGGTACAGGATTATAGATGACTTTTACTTTATATCTTTCTAAATGTCTATAATGAACAAACATTGTTGGTAAAAATCAGAAAAAATAAAAAATTGTTTTTTTAAAGAAATGATCCTGTTCAAAACATCACTGCTTATACCCCATGGGGCCACAGTGGAGTTCACCTGCCAATTCCCGAGTCAAGCCCACCTCAAGGAGAGTGCACAGGGTATAATGGGTCTGCTAGGAGTGGGTGGGGCCCCAGAAAGGCCTTAGCAGTGGCACTGAGCTGAACACATGGTAACAAAGAGTATAGAGACATGAGAGAACCAGGAAGGAGGAAAAGAAGGCAGGAAGATAAAAAGAAAAGCCTACAGTAAGTAGCAAGGGAAGCCCAGAGGGACTGGCTGTGCTGAGGAGAAAGGCCTATACCAGACATGCTGTCTTCCCAGCAACGTGCCTGGACCTATGTGGTCCCTGCAGCTTTTGACAAGGCACTAAGTGAATGGGCGGGCACTGGAGTTGCAGAGACAGGAAAGGTACTCATCCCCAGCTTCAGCTTCAGGGCCCAAAAGGAGCCAAAACTAGCACCAGGACCCAGGGCTATGGAACAGTGTTCACATAGACGCCCTCAATGAGAAAAGGACATCTTTGCTTATCCACGTTCACTACAGCTGATGCTCAGCTGCCAACACAATCAGCACAACCATAGGGGCCCCATGGTCACAACACTTGCTGCCTTTACACATTCAGTATCCTAAACCCTGGCTGCTCCAATGTGGTGAGGAACACAGCCAGCCCCAGCTCTAACCACTGGGCCTCAGTTTCCTCATGGGTGAAAAGTGGGCTCAGGGACACCTCATGAAGGTGGACTCAGAACCTGGTACTTGTGGCGCAGTGCCATCCATATACACTGGCAGGTTCAAATCTAGCTCGGGCCTGCCAAACAACAATGACAACTATAACAACAAAATAGCCAGGCGTTGTGGCTGGCTCCCATAGTCCCAGCTACTTGGGAGGCTGAGACAAGAGAACTGCTTAAGCCCAAGAGTTTGAAGTTGCTGTGAGCTATAATGCCACAGCACTCTACCGAGGGTGACATAGCAAGACTATCTCAAAAAAAAAAAAAAAAAAAAAACTTGGTTCTTGTGTTTGTTTGATGATTCAAAATACTCTGAGACTCTCATGCATAACTTTAGGCTCACCTTCTACTTTAAGAGGAATCTGGAGGGACTTCCCCAGCTGAGTGTATTCCACTAGCAAAGGGGCTTGCACTTGAAAAAATACCACCAAGATTATTTCTCTGAAGGGCAGCCACAAAATTATCCCTTCCCAGTGCTCTCTCACCCCAATCTCAGCAAAGCTCTGCCAAGCTGCACACTAAGAGAGTGGTGTCTAGCACAGGGGGGCCCCATCTGCAGATGGTCCTCAGGATGGCTGACCCATGAGGAGGTTTAATGAGCATGCTCCCCTGGCTTACCTATCGTAAGCTTCCTTGAGATCCCTGGCCAGCTTGCACTTGGGCAGGATGTGATGGAATGGGGACTGAGGACCTTCATTTCCTGTAAGAATCACAACACAGGAGAATTCAGAGCTTTCAAAGCAAGGAAACTTTTATAGTTTAGAATAAGAAATACCTTTAAAAACAAGTTTAACTTGAAAAGAATTTTAAGTGACTGTTTAAAACAAACATCAAGAAACTTTCTATTTCTTTTTATAAAATCTATGCATCCATTTGAACTAAAATTAGACTTAGGTTGATTTGTTTAACTACCTGGAACATTTGCATTTAAACTTTACCCTGGCCCTCCCAACCTACTGTCACAGCACTACAGAGCAAACTGTCTCACTGGCCCCTCCTGAGCTTCTCCCTCAGACCACCAAACCTTTTCCTGTTTCAGCGATCAGGTGTTTCCTTACCATATCTCACTCCTCCCCCTCAAATCTATCTGCTAATAAAACTTATTTTTATGGGGACAGGAGTGGTGGCTCATGCCTATAATTCTAGCATTCTGGGAAGCTGAGGTGGGTGGACTGCTTGAGCTCGTGAGTTCCAGACCAACCTGAGCAAAAACCTCATCTCTACTAAAAATAGAAAAACTGAGGCAAGAGGATCGCTTGAGCCCGAGTTGGAAGTTGCTATGAGCTATGACACCATGGCACTTACACAAGGCGACAGTTTGAGATGTCTCAAAAAAAAAAAAAAAAAAAAAAAATATCTTATTTTTTAGCTGAGTGTTGTGGCAGGCGCCTATAGTCCCAGCTACCTGGGAGGCTGAGGCAAAAAACTTTGGGTTGAGCCCAAGAGTTTGAAGTTGCTCTGAGCTGTGATGCCATGGCACTCTACCGAGGATGACATACTAAGACTGTGTCACAAAAAACAAAACAAAACAAAACAAAACTTAGTTTTACCGTTGAAAAGTCTTACTAATCCTTATCCTAAATTCCTGGAAAAAATATAAATACATAAATTTAAACTTAAGTTTTTTTACTTCCTGTATAAAGTCATAGTCTCTGTAGAGAACACTATAAAAGAAAACTTATAGATTGTTATTATCCTACTTATAATTAGTACATAATTGGTCAAAACAGAAATATACTGCAAATTTTGGCAGCTGTAAACATAAAAGGTAAATTTTTACTAAAATGCACCTGAGTTAGACAGGACTGTTTTGTTTTGTTTTTATTTCATAATCATAAACTTAACTCTGCAATCCTACTAGACATGGGGAGGAATAAGGAAAATATGCAATCCAAAGAACTGCAGTTGAGAGCACAGAGATTACAGGATACTGCGAGCAAATGGAGGAGAAGGGGGCTCCCTGAGTTACAGGAGGAACGGTTTGGTGGTTGAAACATTAAGTCAAATTTATTACAGCTGCCCACAGTCAGTAACGGTGATCTTTTTGCTGGTCTTGCCATTCTTGGACCCAAAGTGCTCCATGGCTTCCACAACATTCACCTTGCCAAAGACCACATGCTGCCATCCAACCACTCAGTCTCAGTAGTGCAGAAAAACTGGGAACTGTTTATCTTGGGTCCAGCATTTGCCATGGACAAGATACCAGGACCTGTATGCTTCAGGACAAAGCTTTCATCTTCAA